GGGGGTTGGGTCGATAGTTGGGCTGATGGTTGGGTTGAGGGTTGAGTTATTAAATTAAGACGATCCTCCCAAAACTGGGAAAACCCTCCCAAAATTTGGAAAACCCTCCCAAAACCGGGATACCCCGCCCCCCCCCCCCCTTGCCCCTTTGTCCCTGCCCTGGGGGACCCCCCCTGACCGCCGTGCCCGTGTCCCCAGGCGGGCCGTGCGCCGCCAGGCCATCCGCCACCCCACGCGCATCGACAAGGACCGGGGGCCCACCAAGGCCACCACCACCAAGCTGGTGTACCACATCTTCGACACCTTCTTCTCGGAGCAGATCGAGAAGGACGAGCGCGAGGAGGACAAGGAGAACTCCACCAAGCGCCGGCGCTGCGGCGTCTGCGAGGTGCCGCTGGCGGGGGGGGGGGTGGTCGGTGGCGGTGCCATCCCCTCCGTCCCACGTGGATGTCACCTCCCTGGGGGACGTGGGGTTTTTTTTGGGGGGGGGAGGAGGGCGGTGGTGGGTTGGGGTGGTTGGGCTTGGAGGGCTCTTCCAATCTCCGTCAACGTCAACTTCCTGTCCTGGGTTGGGCCGGTTGGTCAACCAAAATCAGTCGATCCCACGTCAACTTCCTGTCCTGGGTTGGGCTGGTTGGGCTTGAAGGTCAGTTCCAACCTCAATCAACATCAACCTCCTGGCTTGGGCTGGTTGGTCTTGGAAGGCTTTTCCAACCTTGGTCAACCAAAATCCACCTCCTGGGTTGGACTGGTCGGTCTTGAGGGTCAATCCCAACCTTGACCAACCAAATTAACCCGTCCTGGGTTGGACTGGTCAGTCTTGAAGGTCAATCCCAACCTTGACCAACCAAATTAACCCATCCTGGGGTTCAGTGATGGATCTTGAAGGTCAATCCCAACCTTGACCAACCAAATTAACCCATCCTGGGTTGGACTGGTCGGTCTTGGAGGTCAATCCCAACCTTGACCAACCAAATTAACCCCTCCTGGGTTGGACTGGTCGGTCTTGAAGGTCAATCCCAACCCTGACCAACCAAATTAACCCCTCCTGGGTTGGACTGGTTGGTCTTGGAGGTCAATCCCAACCAAATTAACTCATCCTGGGGTTCAGTGATGGATCTTGAAGGTCAATCCCAACCCTGACCAACCAAATTTACCCATCCTGGGGTTCAGTGGTGGATCTTGAAGGTCAATCCCAACCTTGACCAACCAAATCAACCCTGTCTGGGTTTCGACGTCGGATCTCCAAGGTCAACCCCAAACCGTCCCGGTCGCTCCGTGGGGCCATCCCAGAGGCCACCCCGGTCCCCTGGTGGGGGGGTGAGAACGTGATGATCCCACCAGCGTCACCCACCCACCCACCCCCCGCCACGTCCCCCTCCCCAGGTGTGCCAACAGCCCGAGTGTGGCAAGTGCAAGGCCTGCCAGAACATGGTGAAGTTCGGGGGCAGCGGGAGGAGCAAGCAGGCCTGTCTGCAGAGGAGGTGACCCCCTGTCCCCCTCCCCAAACCCCCTCCCAAACCCCCCATCCCCCTCATCCCCCACCTCTCTGGTGACATCCCCACCCTTAATCCGTGCCCAGGTGTCCCAACCTGGCCGTGAAGGAGGCGGACGAGGACGAGGAGGTCGATGACAACATCCCCGAGGTGCCCTCGCCCAAGAAGATGCTCCAGGGCAGGAAGAAGAAGCAGAACAAGAGTCGGATCTGCTGGGTGGGGGAGCCCGTCAAGGTGAGGCCAAAAAAAAGGTGGATCTGGTGGGTGGGGGAGCCCAGAAAGGTGAGGGGACCCATCCAGGTGAGACCAGAGCAGGGGAACCCATCAAAGGTGAGGGGACCCATCCAGGTGAGACCAAAAAGGTGGATCTGGTGGGTGGGGGAGTCCAGAAAGGTGAGGGGACCCATCCAGGTGGGAAAGCCAACCCAGGCCAGGCCAGGTAGGACCCCCCTTTCCTTCTCCTCACCCCCCTTTTCTTTGCAGAGAGATGGCAAGAAGGATTATTAATTAATGAATTAATTAATTACCCCCCTTTTCCCCACAGAGAGATGGCAAGAAGGATTATTAATTAATGAATTAATTAATTACCCCCCTTTTCCCCGCAGAGAGATGGCAAGAAGGATTATTAATTAATTAATTAATTACCCCCCTTTTCCCCACAGAGATATGGCAAGAAGGATTATTAATGAATTAATGAATTAATTACCCCCCTTTTCCCCACAGAGAGATGGCAAGAAGGATTATTAATGAATTAATTAATTACCCCCCTTTTCCCCACAGAGAGATGGCAAGAAGGATTATTAATTAATTAATGAATTAATTACCCCCCTTGTCCCCGCAGAGAGATGGCAAG